CCCATTTGATCATCTGTGAGGATGTGGGGCTTTGTGGATGGGGCGAGGGGCGATCTGTCGTGGGGTTCTCTGCCCTTTTTAACTATAAGGAGAGACGGACACCAGGATCCTGGGAGTTTCCGTTGACACCGTTTAAGGTAACTAGGTTTTGTTTTGGCGATGTCCAGCCATGTTTCTATATATGGAATCTGATCTGGGTGTCCGGGACTCCCAAGGATCACAGCCTCCACATTCCTAATCAGGATTAAATCAAAAGAGCCCTCTGAGGGCCATCCCACGCCAAAGGAGGTCCACTCTAATTCACAAAGGATCCGGAGGGTCCCTGGCTTAACAGAGACCCCGAATCCTGAAGCCCTGTCAAAGAAATCAGAAAAGTTATTCAGAAGACATTGGAAAGGGGTGGTCACGATGGACTGGCCCTGCCCCATTTTTCCATCCTGTAAAAAAAGGATTACTCAAGACAAAGAGACGACGGACAATCTAAACAGACGTACCGTCTAAACAGGAACTGAGGCCAGAAGCGACGTCTCGCTTCAGACCGGAAAGTAGCCCTCATGCTGCGTCCAGCAGGCTTTCCTTTCCAATACCAGATCTGCAGATACTAAGAAATGGCAGGTAACCGCCGTGCTCACTTACCGGTAATTCCTCTCTCGGCTAGTCAGACGTCCCACCGAGCCGGGGTAGAGGCATAAGATGCCTGTGGGCCCGTCCCTGGTGTCGGGGGGAGGCAAGACCGACAGTCTCAAGATCTCGCTGGGGCCTCCAAATGTTGTATGGCGCGATTTTACGGACGAGACCAGAGACTGGTTGGAATTATTGAGAGAGATTTATTTACCCGCAGGGACCAAGCACTCTAGGAGTGTGGTGGCGAGCAGAGGGGAGACATTGATTTTATACTCTTTTACACTTATGCTTGAATGACAGCGAACAATAGGGGAACAACAGAGAAACAATAGGGGAACAACAGAGAAACAATAGGGGAGAGCACATTTGCACATTTATCATGCTAAAGCAAGCAAGCGTGGGTACAAGGGCATAATGTCTGCGGTGATACTGGTAATGCTGGAGCGAAGCCTGCTTTGTTGTCAGCTTAGCATAGCATGCACATCCGTGTTTGTGTTCTTGTTCTCATGCGAACAGGACACTCTGACCATGCCTTTTACTCGTGATGAGCCATGCCCTGGCTACGTGCTTGATCATGGGGGTGGTTACAACAAACATAACGTCCAGTCCCCGTCAGCAGCCTGGCAGCTCTATTCTGAACCAATTGAAGTATCCGGACCGTCTTCAAGGGTAGCCCCACGTAGAGCGCGTTACAGAAGTCAAGACGGGAAGTCACCAGCGCATGAGTCACTGTTGCAAGGCAGTCGTACTCCAGGTAGGGATGCAGCTGATGAATCAGCCGAAGCTGGAGGAAAGCGCTCCTCACCGCTGTTGTCACCTGAGCTTCGAGTGAAAGCTCCAGGTCGAGGAGCACTCCCAAGCTGTGGACCTTGTCCCTAGGAGGGAGTGCAACCCCGTTCAGGACAACGTTCAATTCACCTTCTCCGAAGCCCGAACCACCAACCAACAGGACCTCCGTCTTGTCTGAATTGAGCTTCAGTTTATTGGCCCTCATCCAGCCCATTACCTCGGCCAGGCACCGGTTCAGTACACCCACTGCCTCACCTGGATTGGTGGAAAATGAGAGGTAGAGCTGGGTATCATCAGCGTACTGATGGTTCCGCAGCCCACACCTCCTGATGACCTCTCCCAGTGGGTTCATGTAGATGTTGAACAGCAAAGGGGACAAAATGGACCCCTGCGGTACTCCATGGCAAAGCTGCCATGGCGCAGAGCCATAGTCCCCCAGCACCACCTTCTGGAATCGGCTGTTGAGATAGGAGCGGAACCACCGCAAGGCGGTGCCTCCGACCCCCAATCCCGCAAGCCTATCCAGAAGGATACCATGGTCGATGGTATCGAAAGCTGCTGAGAGGTCCAGAAGAACCAACAGGGACGCACTCCCCCTGTCCTTCTCCCTGCACAGGTCATCGGACAGGGCGACCAAGGCAGATTCAGTACCGTACCCAGGTCTGAAGCCGGACTGAAATGGGTCCAGATAATCAGTTTCATCCAAGAGTGCTTGGAGTTGTCCCGCCATCACTCGCTCTAACACCTTGCCCAGAAACGGGATGTTGGCCACTGGTCTATAATTAGTGGCCATCCCTGGATCCAGTGATGCCTTCTTCCGGACCAGTCGGACTACTGCCTCCTTTAAAGGGGCAGGCACCCGACCCTCCCTCAGAGAAGCGTTAACCACTTCCAAGATCCAGGTTCCAATCCCGTGCTTGGAATCCTTTATTAACCAAGACGGGCAAGGGTCCAAAAGGCAAGTGGTAGGACGTACTCGTCCAAGGACCTTGTCCACATCATTGGGCCACAATAACTGAAATTCATCCAATAATTCTGGACCAGACGGTAGCGTTGGTGTCTCCCTTAAAACCTCTGAGTCAATAGTGGAATCCAGCTCGTGATGAATCTGAGCGATTTTCTCCCTGAAATGCCCGGCAAAGTCGTCACAGCGGGTCTTTGAGGGTGGAATCAGCTCTTCTTTCGGACCTGGACGAACCAGGCCTTGCACCACTCGAAAGAGCTCCGCTGGACGGCATTGTGAGGAGGCAATGGAAGCGGAAAAGAATCTCTTTTTCACCGCCCTCACCGCCACAGCATAGGCCCGATAATGGGCTCTTAAGTGTGTTCGGTCAGATTCATCCCGTGATTTCCTCCACCTACGCTCTAGCCATCTCCCAACCTGCTTCATCGCCCTCAATTCTGGGGTATACCAAGGGGAAGAGCGGGCTCTGCCCGGTGGGAGAGGACGCTTAGGAGCAATCGTGTCTACAGCCCTGGTCATCTCCCCATTTCACAGTTCGACCAGAGCCTCGACAGGAGCACCTGTCTTGTCAGCCAGAAACTCCCCCAGGGCCTTCAGGAATCCTTCCGGATCCATCCGGCTCTGGGGGCTGACCCACACAATCGGGTCCGCACCCTTACAGAGGGAGATGTCGCTCTCGAGCACAAACCTCACTAGGAAGTGATCTGACCATGACAGGGGAGTCAAGCATAAATTCCTCACCCTCAGACCACCCTCTTCCTGCCCCGTCGAGAAAACCAGGTCCAGAGTGTGTCCACGTTCATGGGTCGGGCCGGTGACATGTTGAGACAGCCCCATGGCCGTCATGGAGGCCATGAAGTCCTGAGCCGCCCCGGTCAGACTAGTCTCGGCATGGAGATTGAAGTCCCCCAGGACCAACATCCTGGGGGTCCTCAACACCAGGTCCGAGACAGTTTCCGTCAGCTCAGGCAGGGAGACTGTTGGGCAGAAGGGTGCACGGTACACCAACAGAATCCCCAATCTGTCTCGGTCACCCAACACCAAGTAGAGACGCTCCAGCCCTGGTCTCGAAGGGACAGGAAGTCCCGTGAGAGAGATGGAAGCTCGGTAAACCAAAGCGACCCCCCCTCCCCTCCCCTCTGGCCGTGAACAGTGCTGGACCAAATACCCGGGCGGGCACAATTGGGAGAGGGCAACATCCCCCCCCCCCCCCCCCCCCCCCCC